GATATAAACTTTTGGCATAACTATGAAATTCGAATTGTTTCGACACAAGCTTAAAAACTAAGAAGGTGGGCCAATTTTCAAAGCTTCTTAGTTTCTTTGTTTGTGATCGAATAGCTTCCAAATTTCGCCATAATGATACCTATATGCTCACAAGTAATAAACAATAGCTAGAAGAAAAATTTCTCCACGGGGAAAAATTCAGGAAGCGAGTTAACTTGTTACCTGTGCTCTAAATTCCGACACATCGCAAAATATGAAATCGAGCTCTAATATAGGAGTGACCACCCCCTTCACCTTTGAAGAACACTTTCGATAACAAAATCACAACAAAATCTAGCAAATTATTGCAAGATCAAATAGCAGGCTCCTGAAGCAGACGCCATATCTGTGATGTAGGAGTGTATTACAGTCAACACAGATCGGACGTCTTCTCGCGCTCTTGTATTTTGCTGTACGTGCCTACCTTAGTTCTTGTTCGGAATCTCTTTGATTTTTATGTAAAATCGACGAAGTTGAATTTTGAGAACTGTCTTTCTCGCTCAGTGGTACATCTTACTGAACGAAAACCCATTTTGTTCGAATACTCGTCTTGTTTGCCGCGATTGTTTCACTCTTAAAAATTTTCCGGAAGATGTGACGAGTTCTTTTTTTTGTGTTTGTTTCCGAGTGTTTTCTGTCCTCGTCTCTATGCTCTATGTTTTCTATTCCTTTAATGTTCCGTCGAAGAAAGAGTTCTAATTCAGGATTGAGGGGTTGGTATCTCGTGCAATTTTAATATTCATTTTTCATGTTATTATATAGCTTCAAATCTGATGCAAAGTCCACAGTTTATCTGATTGTACATGCTCAACGATGTCAAAGTGGTTGTTTTTGCAACGGAGCGCTTGTGAGCAGTGCGGTCTTCACACCGTATGATTCATACGACACGCGCCTATGGCGTTCCAATGTTACGTGAATCATGCTTGGAACATTTAGAAACATCTTAACGGCATTGCTGCTCGCAACGAGGATTCCTTCAGTAAAATTCCGACGGGAAAGGCTCAGTGAACTTCCACAGAATCTTTTTGTTAGTGACCAAAATTCTGTTCACGTCGGTTTCGTATTGTTTTTTTCTTCCACAGGTGTGACCAGCTTATCAGTTTGAACCTTGGCATGTGTATCATTTGATGTGCTGTGTGTGGAGTATTATGTTGTGTACGATAAGTGGTTCTCAGTAATGTATACATTTTCGATTACTTCTTTTTTTTGAGAACAGGACATCACTTGAGAAAAGTTTGTAACTGCAAACCTAGCTTTGTGACGGTTTCTTTTTGATTTTTTAATTCCAAGTTTAGCGCTGGCTACTCAAGAGGAGCGGGCAATGACAGCGGAGTGCCCAATACCCTCAGCATTCCCCTCCTGCCCCTCTAGGACTTCAGCTAGGGATGGAAGGGGGTGTAAGCAATACTCATCTTCTCAGAGGCCATAGGTATGCTTCTCCGAACAAGAGAGGAACCCCACCCTGGTGAAGGTATGCTCAAGTTCTGGCGAAAGGCCATGCCACAGATATCTCTTCTATGCATTGCCATCGGAAGATAGTCCAAGAACCGGTGGGCCTGTGGCCTTTCGGAGAGGTTTTAGGAGAGCATATTAGGGGCGGTATTCAATCCTTCCCCCAGGGGGATATATCCCCCTCCTCTGATTCAATCCTCTGGGGGGACAAAAAAGGGTTGCGTCATAGGACCTAGCATACCTCTGTGTTTCTACCTGCCAGACAGTTAGAGCAGCGCTACTACCCTCCACTGATGAAGCACTCTTTCCCTGAGGGGTCGCGCTGCTCTAACTGTCTGGCAGGTAGAAACACAGAGGTATGCTAGGTCCTATGACGCAACCCTTTTTTGTCCCCCCAGAGGATTGAATCAGAGTAGGGGATATATCCCTGGGGGAAGGTTGATACGCCCAGGATGGCGATCGCTTACTGTTTCGGTAAACACTACGCGCCTAGAAGGCATCTATTCATTGTTCTATTTAACGAAGCTCAGTCGCATCGCCAGTTGCCGCTCCCTCCCTGAGTTGGTGCCTTGATTTTCCAAGGAGAAGTTTCGGCTTTTCGAGTGGTCAAAATTCTTTTATTGTCTTTTTTATGTCCAGTTTTCGAATTTTCTAGCTTTGAAACCGGTTTCTAGTGGTTTAAGGTACAGATAAATCTTGCAAAAGTATCCTCACCTGTTAATTTCGCTATTTTTTACAACTTATTTTGAAACAAACTAATTCTTGAAAATTTTCGAGATGGTTTCAGACACGCGTCTGCATGATGGAACATGAATACTATCCGCAAACAGGAGTTGGATGATCAAATTGAGGATATGGTTGAGGTTGACAAAATATCTTTCACAAGGTAGCTCTCCGTTCTTCTAACTTCCATGATTGGGCCTTAGTTTTTTTTTTCGAAGTCTTCAATGGATTTTTATCTTTTCAGTTTTGCAAGCTCCGACGATGGCGACCTTCGAATGTCTGTCCAACAAAGCCCTATTCCGTCTAATTTTTCCGATTTTAAGACGGCATCTGAGCTATCCCTTCACTGCCAGCATAGGTATATTACTGCAGTTAAATGTCGTCTTTGAATTCTCTTTTCGTCATAGTTATTATATGGGCTAATAGAAATTGAACTGTGAGCGCAAGTGCTGTCGTTTTGCAGTAGAACTCACTTTCACAGGTCTAGGTCTGATTCTGAAGATGAATCAGCGAGTAACAGCCCTTCGTGCTCAAGAGTTGATACGTCCTATCCTATCCCTACACCATCCTGCTCAACAGTGGACCACGATATTGTCTCTGATTCAGTTCCAAAAACGTGCCCAATCTCCTCATCATTCTGCATTGATGTGAGTGCTTCTTCATAATAACTACTTTCGAGTGATGCAAGGTTCTGCGGGAATTTTTTTCTCTGATCTCAGGATTTTTTGAAATCATTTTTGGAATTGTTTCTGTATGATTCAATCATTATTACCCACGTCATGTAGACGTTCAAGCTAGATCTCATCAACGAAGTTGTGTGTCTAGTCTCAACTCCTGTTTATAGCACGGATGGATAAATAATCTCTATATTACTAACGAATTGCCACCATTACCAGAATTTGTTTCTGATGAGCCGTATTGGAGGGAAATGGAGCAAGAATTCATAGGTCTTCGTCTGCGTGATGCAAATGTGTCGAAGGACCTGGAAGAGGTTTGTTCTGGTATTTGTCTTTGGATTTTTGAAGAATATCGAAATGTTGCAGTCAAATACGTATATGTATTCGCTTCGTCTTACACTGGCTGCAATGGAGGAGGCGCGATGGTTAAATGACGTGTCGAAGGATCCTGAGTTGTCTCGCTTGGTTCACGAGGTATGTTCAGTACTATGTCATGAACTGCTTCCAAGTTTCACAAGTTTTTTTCTAAGATTGACCCGCAATTCCCCATTGCTGTGAATCGCATACCTGAAAGTCTGGGAAGCGATGGATCCTCTACTATCGATATTAATGGAGCAAGTGGAGACTGCCCTTCTGACATGTTATGCCCAACGTTTGAGATTAAGGACGATATCGCCACCAAACCGGCGTTCTTCAGAAGCATGAGAAGGTAATTAAGCTACGAGGGATAGTTTAGAGGCGGTGTAGTTACTCACTGTCCATTCATTGTCATGCTGCAAATGCAGACCATCTCGACGTTCACGGATTGCGCACAATACGGTAACAGGTTCGCCTTCCAGGAAACCTGAACCAACGTGGAGTGAAGTGGCCTCTGCTGCACTGGAGAGGTACGACTTTACCTTCATTGGTCAAACTTTTTTTTTGTTTTCTTAGCTGCCACATACGCCTCATACTTTTTGAGATTTAAAATATTGACGACAGCATTGCGCTTGTGCATCGGCATGTGTTTTTTTTATTTTTCTCTGGAAATCACCCCTTCAGTAATCACTCACCATTACTGCTAAGGAATATGCTACTTTTGGATTCATTAATGTAGCTGCTTTGGTACACTAAAAACATCAGATCGAGCAAAACGAGTGTGAAATCTCTTTTGGAAGTAAAGATCACCGACCTCGATCACCTTCCTTGAAAGTGTAGGCATCTCCCTAGCGCTCGATGCTAAATTTTAATATCGGAGCTGACAAGAAGCAGCATGACACGTGCTCCAACTGTGTTACAAACAGTATAGACATTCTGTATTTTGGTCGAGCTTTGAAATCTGCATCCGATTGAGTGATGAAGTGATGAGTGTCATGTAAATCTTAACTTTAAGTATAATGAAGTGTTTCAATTTAGTTTTACGAATAGAGAAACTTTACGTGATGAGCGAGTCTCTCAGTGGATGGATGAGCTTGTTCGAAACACAGGACAGGGTGAGTTTGCTACTTCACTAGTGTCTACTTTTCTGTTTTTTAGTCTTTGTCCAGCACATAATTAAATTCGAGGAATGGCTCCGAAATACTCAGTTACAGCAGATTTCCGAATGAATGTTATTACTTTTTTTATGAGTTCCAGCTTCTGTCGTTGCCCAGTACCTCACAGAGCACCAGTGAGGAAACGTGCCAGGGGGATTCTTCTCGATCTAGTGTAGAATCTGACTGGACTCCTCCGAGAGAATCATGGATTTATACGCTTTGGAAATCTGAGAGGTGCGATTGGAATTTTTGTAATGCCATTTGCAGCCAAGGCACCCAACTGTGTATACAGCTTGCCATTATGCTTTTATAAATCTATGAATTGAGTCAGAATGACATTCTTTACAGCATGTTTTCCAGCGTAACGGTTCTGCTTAAAGCTCAGAATTATCGGTGTTTTGGGTGCGGAATCCGGGTGGAGAATGAATATATAAAACGGGTCAAGTGAGTGATTTAATTTTCGGTGAAAAGTTTCCCAAAACTTCTTTCGTTGTGAGTGCTTTGTTTCAGATACTGTGATTATTTCGGGGAAAGTTTTCTGTCAATGCTGTCACCAAGGTTCAAAATCAATAATTCCCGCTAGAATATTGCATACGTGGAATTTATCAAGTTAGGGTTTGCGCATATTATCTTCTCAAGATCACATCGAATAAGTGTCTCGGACTTCTTGTTTTGCTTCTTTGTAAATTTTATTCATTCCTTATTTCAGCTCGTCTGTTTCCTATCCATACAAAGTTGTGTGTTTTCAGTGAATTTCCTGTCTGTGATCTTGCCTTACACTTTTTGTTAGAAGTTCGTGATGTGCCTGCAATTCACGTAAACGTTGTAGCTCCACAAATGGTAAGTGGTTGTTGTTATAGTTGTAGGCGCTTGAATCATGCAGATCAGTCGGGTAAATTTCAGGTTGAAAAAATACGGGTCCTCAAACATGTGATTGTGTTACGAGAGAAACTTTCATATATGTGGGATTTTGTGAAAGGATGCCCTGATGCAGAGAATACAGAGACGAAGAACGGGCAGTGAGTTTTTTTCTTGCAGTCGAGAAGTATCGTTTTCTTGTCTTTCCCTTATTTCTTCTTTCTTTTTTCGCAGTTCTTGCTAATTCTTTGTTTTACGCGGCTGAAAATTATTCGAGATATCTTGAAATGTAGGTATTGATTAATAGTGGTTTTTTGGTGTTTGGGGTTTTATAGAAGGAGCCTGCAGGATATGCTAGAGTGTTGTATTGTAGAACCATTTTCCCTTTTGAAACCAAAAGTAGGAAAAGTGGGCTCCGAGAGAGGTATTACGTATTAAGTTCTTTTTTCATGATAAAAGTTCGACACCTAGGGTCGGATTTAATACTCCCCAAGGGGTTAGGGTACGAAAATCCATGAATTTGTTTTTATCGATATAGCTTCTTCATTTTCAGTGTATGTTTACTTTTGACCTTTAATACTATAAATATGTCATTAATCAATGTTGGTACTTCAACAATTCATGTTGCAAATGAACTCAAATCGTTGCAATACTTTTTGGAAGTCTACATTGTTTATGTACAGCTTTAGATCGATGAGATTGGGACAGAACAATTCTAAGTACTGTTAATTACATTGGATGTAGACATTCGATCATGGACGAAGATCCATTCGCGAAGTCAGAGAAAATTTAAAGGGATTTCCGTCCCCAAACCTCTGGGGGAGGATTGAATCCTGCCCATAGCCCGCTTATTCATTCAGTTTTCCTTAATTTTTTTTCTCATATTTTTAACGTCGAGTGTGTTTCTATCGATTGGTTTAGCCTTTGACTATTGCTTTCATGTTTAATCCAATGTTCTAAAGTTCTAATGTTCGCATTTCAGTCTTCGGCACTTGTTTAGCTCGTATGTGGACAGCATCTTAACTTTTGGGCCCCCACTCGCAAGGGACTATTTTCTGTCTGTCAGATTTATACGGGTTCGCAGATAAAGACATGAGTAACATCTGGTGAACGTATAGCCACTTTGCCTATGATGTCATATCGAGGCTTGTGAGGGTGGATGGTTTCTTTCACTTTCCGGCGATCAGGACAGGAAAGCTGTTTGGGTTTCTTGTTTGCCTGCAGTTTGAAAGCGTATTTCACTGTTTTGGAGGATAATTTTGTTTATTCTTGTTGTTCATTTTTATGCTATCAAGTGCATTTTTTTAAAAACCCCATCATTAATTTCTAGTGGTTCTTTTATTGTTGTGTCTGAGGAATATGATGTTTTGTCGTGAATTTTCTACTACGCATACTGGTTTCAGCACTGCCGCCAGTGTTCGCTGCCCCTGTGTTATGTGAAGAGCAAAGAGATGTGTTCCATTTTTTTCAAATGGAAAAAGTCATAAGTTGTGCTTCTTGTGCTTAATGTAGCCCCCCGCCCCCCCCCCCCCCCCCCACCCCCCCGCCCCCCCCCTCTTTTCGCATATCAAGTGCAGAGTAAGTTCAGAGGAGGTGTGCGTGTCAAGGGTTGTAGAGGTTGGAAGTCTAAATGGAGATAAAGACAGGCAGCCTCGGGGCTAGTTTAGTGCTTTCAGACCTTGTCTGTTTTGCATTCTGGTAGCGCTAGTATTTAGGCAGTTCGCTTGAGAATTCGCGATGGGATGTGCGCGAGTGATTCGCATAATTTGCTAGCGTGATTTGGCCGTTGTAGAGTCAATTTAGCAGTAGGGGTATACCGGGTGTAATGGGATTAGGCTGGTGTTATGGTTGCCAGTCAGTTAAATTTAATTGACAAAGCTGGTGTTCTTTCGCGTATTTTGGTGATCATTAGAAATGGCGCGCTATATCGGGCGGAAAGGCTGCTTTTTCGCCTGTGTGACGTTTCTATGCGGATCGATAGTACATTGTAATGAATGACCTAACTGTGAGATTTTAATAGTGTTAGCCTCGGACTTAGTGGCCCTGGCAGAGTATAGACACACCACTGTCTGATCGATAATTCGATCGATAACGATTCTCAGCCGATAATGGGTTTTAGACCATGCATGGCTGAGCGACTTTAGTCGGTAAACCAGTCCGCCTTCAGTCATTAAGAAAGAACAAAAACGTTTATAGACGAAATAATTAAAATGGTTCGTTTTGCTCCTTCCTCAGACGTAAACCTTATTATGTCGGTCAATCCCCCCTGCTGAATTGAATAGTCAACGAATTGGATTTTACCCGTGTGAATAAGCCCCGATCACTGCGTTAGGATTCACTTAGTATTCATATTTGGTTGTCACTAAACTCCAGTCGCCATATTAACGGTTAATTGTAACATTTCTTATATGCGTTGTACCTCTTGTAATCACTTAGATGCTAAATGTCACTATATCATAATATTTTCTCATTTGCTTTGATAAGTTGTTCGAATGTGTTTGATGAGGGACTGACTCTCTTATTAAAGAAATTTATACAGCTATGTTGTTCATCATTATTATTTTAGATACATTGGCCGCCTATAGTCGTCGGCGCCTGTAGACGGATAGTCACTTTTCTTTCGGGCTATTTTACCTCGCTTTTCTCTGGTAAATGTAAATTAATAGCACAGTCCATTGATAGATTTTGGGAAAAGGAAAAAATGTTCTTTTGCAGAGGCTGTAGACCGGTTCCACAAGCGCAGTGCTTGTACGAATTTTCGCCGTTTCAAGGAGGCAGAGCCGCCCAGTTCAAATGCGCTTAGTTGTTTTAAAATTCGTGATTGATTGAAAATCGGAAAATAATCTATGAAGTGTCCGGGATTCAGTCGTAACAATAAACGAAAAATACAAGAATGGACGTAAATCTGCGCTTCAATTTCGATTCAGAATTGCGACGGAGAGGGAGCGTTAGGGTTCATCCAGGCCGGGCTGGGTCATGACCGGAATTTGTGTTCTTATGACCGATGTCGTTTTTTTTTGCGCTAGTCATTAAGGCTTGCTAGCACTGCCCTTCTTAGTTCTCCTCTACGCTGAAAAATGAGGCTTATTATTTTCCTTCCGTTTTCGTGTTTTCTGTTTTCGCGTCGATACATTCTTCGCTACCCCACTGTTCTTCGACGAATGAAGTCATAAGCGCGAATTTTGACAGGTGTCTAGCGTGGTGGATGGCATCTTGTAGAGTGAGGAAAGGAAGACTAAGTGCGGAACAAACGGTGACGAGACGAACTGTCCGCTCGTGATGCGACCGTCTCATAACGACCAGGGGTTATGGTGGAAAAAGGCAGCATGGAAAATGCGAGGAGATAAGCGGGTCAGTGAGCAGGGATGTAAGATAACGCAAAAAAATTCTGAACAGAAATCGAACTGGTTGCGAGTGCTATGGTGCGATAAGCGATTTTCGTCGGGGGCTCATCATCACGCTGACGTTTCCTCGCGCGAGCTAGAAGCCAGATGGGCGGGCAGGTCCGGGCCGGACAGACGGTGCGGCCATATGGCATTCCAATCGCCGTATAGGTTTATCCATCGGCTGCGATTGGTGCGTGTCCGCTCACGCACCTCAGGAGATCCGCTATCTTTCATTTATAAGTAGGTGTCCCCTTCCAACTTGACCTATCGATGTAATCCTTTTAGTATGCGCTTCTGCGTTGACAAACACTGTGAGGCGTTTGCCCCGATCCGTAAATCCAGAGCTCTCTATGGAAGACATGGATCCGACATATTTTCGGAAAGCGAATGGCTTGGATGAAACCATCAATGGTTGCCTACTATCTTCAACGCTGCATTCGTTCTGAAAACAGCAGCATAAGCAGTATCAAAATAATGAAAGTGATAAAATTTTATGGATAAACACTTATCACATGAGCATGATGGGGTGAGAAGCATTCTGTTACGTTATTGCGAGGTGAGTTGCGTCAGTTCGTTGAATTTCGAACTTGGTGTGTGCATAGGGTCAAGGTACTCAGGCCTTGAACCTGTCACGATGAGTCAGGCCCTTCTGCGGGGCGGCTACTTCAGGCGTAGGGCGCTCATGGCTTGGGATGCGTGGAGGGGGGGGGGGGGGCTTAGACAGTGGGAGAACGGAGCCGAGGGGATAAGTGTGATATTAGAGATACTCCAGAGAGTAGGGAGAAACGACCGAACAGAGAAAACAAATTTTGCAACTCTTGATTCAGAAACACTTCACTCTTGCGTGTGATAGCGTAGTGCAAGTATCTAAGGGATTCACTGACTTTGAATGTCCCCCCCTTCGTCACAATAGATCATGAGCGCGTAGCGATAGCTTTGATAGAGAGAGCAGCTTTTATGATCGTTACACTCCTCGTTAGGAGTAGGGAGGGGCTTTTCGGTCTGCCGCCGCGGTAGATCAGCCAATATGTGCATCGTAAACAGGAATGAGGGACCAGCTCGAGAATTACATATTCCAATGTGCATATGTTCTTGATTATACGCAAAGGTTAGTGTGAAGGCATTTACGGGAGGTATGATCAGGAGTTTGGCGATGTACGTGCGGATTAAGGATTAGGCGATTATCTATAATGAAAAAAACTATAGTATAGTTAGGCGAGGTGGGGGGGGATGCGATCAGACGGGAAGACAAATACTTATAATTGATTAGGTTCTGCTCCGCCATAAATCATGGAGGCGAATAGCGAGTAGCCAGGCGATTAGGCTGAGGGTAATGCGATTCGCCTAAATGGCGGAACAGCAATAAGTCAATACGTTATCCTGCTCCTCTATCGGACTATTCGCGATACACGACATAATGCATCGTACAGACCGACCAACTAGAACGCTTCAATTATTTGTATTTGTTCGCAGTTTAGAGATGGAGATAGAGTGGATCTTCAAAAGGGCTAAACAATTAGTCTGGGGATAAATTCTAAAGAAGTACACTGGACTTCAAGTGAGGCGTAAATATTTTTTCGGTGAGCAAATCGCAAGATTCAGGGCATCCTCGAGGACTAAGCCCAAGGAAGAAGAGATTCCAGGGGAAATGACAGTTCGGCGCATCCTGGAGTATCTACACCCCGCCTGAGGTGCAGTCCTAATTTTCATCAAGAAGAAGAATTTTTCACGCGGTTTCAAATGCACTACCACCACAATGTCCTCGTATCATGCGATAGC